GTTGGATATACTTTTATTATTTATAACAAAAAGTTTAAGTGCAAAATTTATATTTATTAATTTTAATAATATTAAATATATATTATTCTATTGAAAAAAAAAACTCTTTCCCGTTTATATTACTTTTTTTAAAAATTTTCTTATAAGAAAACTTTTAAAAAAAGTTAACAAAAAGTTAAGTTTTCTTTAATAAAAACTATCAAAACATAACAAAATATCTGCAGTAATAAGTTTTTCTTGTGGATCAATCTTTAAATACAGTGGGCCAGCAAACCAGCTTGTTCTAATACAAGAACTTTTCTCAAAATAGGTGGAAAAAGCTTCTTCAGTATGTTTTAGCAACTCTAAATGACAAATACTTATCTCTATACTGGCAGCCAGCTCTTTAAAAAAGAAAAAACCTGACACCTCAAAAATAGAAGATGCCGGGAAAATAAAAAACCAAGCAAGTGGAGAAACAACCTGCACCCAAACAATCTCCATCTGTAAAGGTATACAAATGTATTGAATGCAATAAAGACTTTACCAGTTACAATGCATGAAAGAAACATTTCAATGTAACTCACAAACCAAGGTTCATGAAGATTGAGACACTACGCAAAAAAAGCAAAAAGAAAAGCAATTGCTCTTGACAGTGCAGCATCTGTTACACAAATATTAGGCATAAAAAAAAATTGAGAAAACACATTTTTGTGACTCATAATGATATTGATGAATCAGAATCAAAAGATTAATCAAGGCAACTTATAACAAACCCAGCAACTACTGGATTAATTTTCAGAACTGCAGTGGATTTGTGAATATTAATGACTATTTACTATCCAATGGCTCTTTTGGTTTAAGTGAATGAAGGTATATAATAATTTTTAAACTATTCATAGAACTAATCAATGATCTTTTCAAAAACGGTTTGGATTTAGCAATAGGTGATACTGAATTCTACAAAAAATCCAACACCATTCTGAAAAAAAATGATTCACGCTTTTAATATTTTCAAATTTAACAAGAACAGGTTATTTAGCTAGAGTCTATAACCATAGTAAGGCCAAAATAGGAAAAATTAAATTAAAAGGATAAAAATTTAACTAGTGGAATACTGAATAGAATGAGTTATTTTTTCTGTAACAAATCATCAAGGCTACTTGATAAGAGAAGTAATTCGTGAATCACATCAAAATTCTTAAAAACTATTGGACAGGTTAGAGTATATACAACAGTGTAATAAGCTATATTATTCTTTAAAATTATTCTAGTAAAAAATTAAAAGAATATTATATGCTTTCCTAATTGGATTTGTAATATAGTTTTCTTAAATGTAATTATTTTATATTTTATTTTGAAATTTTACTAGATGTACTACAAACTATTAGTTATGCCTCTGTTGCTGAAGTAGCATAGGTCAATCTTGTGATAACCACATATATGTAAATCTTTAATTTGATAAAGTACTATGCATAAATACTAATAAAAGACAGAAAAAAAGAGAATATATATTTCACTGAAATATCAACAGTATAATTATATAAAAGCAAGAAAAGTTTGAGATCCACTATATGCAACAACCTGTGCTATAAAAGTAGAACAACACTAACAAACATGCAGTCAATGCTTAACGATACCTTTTCATATCCCAATCTCCCAGCCCTACTACAAATATCTTAAAACACAATGCAAGCCAATATATGTGCAATTAAAAAATGGATAACAATATTCACAACAACATTGGAAAAACTAGCTACAATATGATACAAAATAGAAAACAGCAAAACTATTACAATCTTTACAGATAGATTCATGAATACAGGTAAAAGAATGGGCTTCAGATAGCACATATTATAGATAGCAAATACAAGCTTCCAAGGAAAAGTAGAAAACTTTCCTTATTGACAAGAGCAGAACTTACAGTTATAATATCTTTTCTCACAACAGCTTCAACAGACAGCATAGTTACTATCTGCAGTGACAGTCAAGCAGCTCTAAATGCAATCCAAAAAACACAAAACAACTATATACAAATAAAAACCAAATCAATACAATTACATATATTCTGGACTTTCAAAAAATAAAACTTAAAAGACAAAAGATTAAAGCATATAGCCACAACTTGGACAATAACAAAGTAAACCAACTAGCCAAAGATACAATTAACCAAACAGCAGATACAATCCTCAACTTCCAGTTATCATATATAATAAACAAAATGGATATAAGAGTGGAATGGGCAAATGCTGGAAAATACAATTCTATTAACCTGCAAGAATATTACAAGAATCAAATATATTTTAAGCTGGAGAATGCTTGAGCACAACCTCATCACAACCAACAATCAACATATAAGAGATACCATTGATTGGACAGAAACTCTTAAAAAAAAATCTATCCAAACTCATCACAGGAGCTATTAACAATGAAGATTATGCAACAAGATCTTTCAGGTTCAAGCTATGGAACCTTGAACTATCTACCAAAGACAAACTTCATGAAAAATCCTCAAAGACCTATACAGATAAAACATGCATCCTCTGTAATAAAGAAACAGAGTCTAATATACATTGCATGAGATGAAAAAACAATGACAAAGGCATCTTCAAAATACTAAACCAGATAATTAACAAGAAATTTGCAGCAGAACTATAACCAATTCAAAACATGAACTTAAAAAAGAACTTAAGTGACACCAAAACACATGGATACAAGAAATAAAAAATTATATCACCAGACTACCTATTCAAATAATCAAAAAATATATAGAGAAGGACAAACAACAAGAAATAATATATAGTATAATATACAGATTATCAATAGAACTATACAAAAAATAAACAAACAAATGCTCCAATTTGTCAAATGAGAAGAAGCAAACAACATTAGCAAACAAGAAAAAAGAAAATAGTCATTAGAGAAAAGACAAAAAGCAGTACAAGAAAAACTTTTATACCAGGACTTAAAACAAAATCATGTAAAGATCCAGCCATAACTGGATTAACTGGAATACAATCTATTCTTTTAACACAATTTTTATTGGAATTGATAGAGTCTTGGCACATTAGCTAAGTATATGTCAATATTTGGCAATAAGCTGCACAGTAGAAAAAATTCTTAGTGAGTTTTATTTGAGAAAACAAGAGTGAAAAATTTGAATAAAATGAATTTGTACATATTCAATTTTATAAACCTAATAAAACAAGGTGTAAGCCATTTGTTTATAAAAAAAAATATACTATTCTATTAAGTCTCAATATCAAGCTCAGATTTAAAATATGTTAAGTTTTTTAAAATAAATAATGCTTTAAAATCATTACTTAAATTAATAAATATTTTGATTTTTGTTATTAATTTACAAACTTTATCTATTTTTATGCCTAATAGCTGAATTTTTTGTTATGCTTTTAAATTAAAAATGTGAACTACATATTGATAATATCAGTTTCCAATTCTTGTGCTAATAAATTGCCACATGCAATTATTGCAAATTCATTATCAGTAGTTAAACTAAGAGTTTTTTTGAAGAGATTAAATTTACATAAAATTGCTATTATAGAACTAGATATATTAAGTCCTGAATGTTAAGTTTTAAATGGTATAATATCAAGTAAAAAACTATATGGTTTTCAATTATGATCTATATAATGAATTGTAAGACCTAGAAAACCTTCACATGTTAATGTTGAAGTTCATATATTAGAAGTAAGAGATATTTTTCCTGGAATTCAACTTATATCTTTTTTGATAAGCTGTTAATATGTATTAAAATAGGTAATCACCATCTCTTTAATACAATTTGTGATAGAAATTTGTATTTAGAATCAAAAGTATGAATCATTTCTTGAAAATATGTATCTTTCACTATAGAAAACAGTTGTTGGTTCATAATTGTCCAAGTTACTATAACTTTATTATGATCCTCTTGATCTTTTGGCAAATGTGGATTAATATGACAAAAAGAAAATATTGTTTGCTTTGTTTTCATAACTTTTTCAACACTAATTCCATGTTTTGTTTCAAGATGCTGTTGAAAACTAATATTTTGAGTTTTTTTGAAAAAACATTTTAACAACTTTTACAAACTAGATGGTTTGGATGTTGTGGTGTATTTGTATCAAAATAAAGCCAGATTTTTGAAAATTTGTAATTTCATGCTTTTTCTGTTGAGATAATAGAACTGGTAGTTGAAGATTGTTCATCTATATCATTTTGTTGTATCAGATCAGTATATTCAATAAAATTGATTGAATTGTCAAAATCATTAACACTTAAAATAACTTCTTCGATATAGTCTTTTTTGGACATAGTAAAAGTAAATTACGGAAAACACAAAAATTACAAAAGATTTATTCATCTTTATTTTCAATTGTGTCGATATAAAGGATCTTTATAATCTATAATAGAAAATAAATTAAAACCAGGACTAGGACCGGAACCATAACCAAATAAAAATTAGGTCCGAACCAGGACTAGACCAGAATTGGACTAGAACCTGCAGGACCGAACTTTTACATCCCTAGTTTACAGGCCGTAAATCAAGAAATGAATGCTATGCTATCTATTATTTAAAGCGCCATGCTAGGAAATAATACGCATGTACCGATTTGTTGTAATTAACGGTCATTAAATCCAAATTAGGACGATCTATATAAATAATGTATCTCTTAAGGTACTGCATCGGTATAAAGTGGCTATCAGAAATCCGCATACTTACGAAATCATATCCACCGCAATGACAGATTCCCATGACTTTAGAGACGGTTCGAATAGTTTTGGTAAGGAATTAGTTGTCATTTTTTGTAGCATTTCATCATTATACAGTATGAACACCTATGTAAAAAGAAAGAACTATTGCATGAAACGATAGAACAATATAAGTCATCTCGTGTTAGGTCCATGGATATTTTTTTTAACTACATAAATATGATACTCAATGTACATATTAACGAAGTGTACCTAGATAAAATTTTTTCAATGCATTTTCAAAAAATGGGCGTACTAAACTATAATCAACTATGTTGACTAATTATGTGGTTGGTTCATTAGACAATAATCTGGTTCAAATTCGTGTATCTACATTAGTGAGCTTACTCCAAACAGTCATATCTATGGATGTAGAAAAAAAGAATCCGGAAATTGTAAAACTAATGGTAGTTATTCCGTTATGTCAATGTAAAGTTGATGGATAGGTTCTTAAATATTGTATATTTATGCATATAGAATAATAACACGAGAACAATAGATGATCCTGTGGTCATGCTGTCTGAAATATTTGAAGACTTTGATAATTCTGAGGAGCTCCTTTCTGATGAAGGCATACTTCTTTTCGAAGAAAACATCGACTTTGTGCTTTTGTCTTCTGATCTGAGAATTTACTTTGAACAAAACATACAACAAAGGAAAGATTGTTTAGATGATGCTAAATGGTTTAAGAGACTAGATCAATTTTTCAAATATATTATTTATCGAAGAACTACCAGAGTTAGAGAGTGGTTTGAACAAAACACCTGTGAATTTCCGCAAGGTTATAATGAACTCCAAATTATGCGTAGTACAATAGAACAAAGAATAAGCAATATTAATACCCATTGGACATTATGTGGAATGAACTGTTCCCATTGTGGACTCCGATGTATAAAAAACCGTCATAATGAGAATGAACACGATTGCTTAACGGATCATAAATGTCACTTTTTATGTCAGTTCCTGGAAGCACATACGAATAAAGGACTCATTCCTCAGTGTAAACTCGAAGCCGGCCA